TCCCCCCGCCACCGTGCCGGGGAGGCCGCAGAAAGTCGCCACAGCACCAAATCTCGGCTTGGAGACAGCGAGTGAAACCCTTTCCAGAATCACATTCCTGAATCGCTTCAACCCCCCCGACGCCATCGTCAAGTTTGTGGCAGCCCCAGGTTTCGGAGGGGCACATCAGAGAGGGGGAGCGTTTGTCCCCTCTGCCCCCCGGGCGGCTCAGCGAGCTCCGGAGCGGGGTGGGGAGCAGGGGCGGCCCCGAGCCGGCAAAGCAAATCAAAACCTCTCCCACAGCAACCCTGCCGGGGGGGGGCGGCAGCAGCAGGGGGGCTCGTTTTGCAGACGGTAGGGATGGCCTACGCAAGGGGAACGGAGGACGCGGCAACAGCTGAGGGAGCGGGGGACACGGGTGGGAGCGGGTCTGTGGGACGTGGCACCTCCGTGTTGTCCTTGGGAAGGCAGAGCCGGGAGGAACAGGCTCCGAGGGGCGAGGGAGTACTCGGTACTGGAGGAACTGAGGGGAGCCGGACTGAGGTTACAGCCAGCAATTAGCGTGATTAAGAAGCCGAAGGGCTTATCTGCGATAGAATGAAATATTTGCATCACTAAGGGAAGGGAAGGGAAGGATCTGCCTCCAAATATCTTGGAGATAAGCAGGGAGGAAGAAAAGGAATTACTTAGATAAGCAGGGAGGGAGAAAAGGAATTATTTAGCAAGGTACAAAGAGAGAAAGAGGAGAGCTTGGGATGGGGCAGGGAGGGTAATTTCGGCTGGCGGTGAGGGGAAATCACCTCCTCTGTGAACTCCAAGGTCTGCACTGCTCACCCCCAGCCCGGGGGCTGAGCTCCGGCCGCCGGGACGTGTCCCGGGAAGGTGGGGGCTCAGGGCCACCGGGATGTCCCCTGCCCCGTCCTCCCCAAGCATCCCTGCCTCCCCGCAGACGGGCCGGTACCCCCGTCCCGTGTGTTGCGGAGCCCCGCGTCTGTCGGGTCCCACGCTGCGGGCCGGGGCAGCCTTCGCCCACGGGTGGAAATGGAACAGTAAAAGTCTCTGTCGTCAATCCTGCCGGCAGGCCTCTGCGGCCTCGCTGGCTTACTGGCCTGCGGAGCGCCGCGCTCGCTATATTTAATCCTTCAATGCATTATCTGTGAGGTACGCCGAGTTAATGCAGTCCGCTCAGAGAATTGGTTTTAATTAAAATATTAATGAAGAAGACTCTAGAAAGGAAATGGAGCTTTAACAAACGCTCTGTGATCCGACCTCTCTGCCTCTCCAGCCCCCCAGCCTTCGCAGTGCCTTCGCCTCCTCCTGCAGCGGGGCAGATCTGGCAGAGCCCGGCTGTGCTGGGCAGCAGGACCGGGTACGGCTGCGCCGAGAGCAGGGTCCGGCCCAGCGGCAGTAACGTGGGACTGGCAGCTCTGGAGAAGGGCAGGAAAGCCGGCGGGCTCGCTCCCCTTGCCCAGAGAAAGGCTGGGCCTGGCTGTTGGCAGCTGGACGAGAAGAGTGCGAAACCCCAGAGACCTTTGCAATACTCCGCAAGGCGGATGGCTTTGCAGAATCCGGCCCGATCCGTTCAAGCATCTCACCCGCGAGCCACGCTTGCCTGGCAGGAACGGGCTCGTCCGTGTCCTGGGTCCTCCTCGGTTGCAGCTGAGGACAGGCTTGTCCGTGTCCTGGGTCCTCCTCGGTTGCAGCTGAGGACAGGCTTGTCCGTGTCCTGGGTCCTCCTCGGTTGCAGCTGAGGACAGGCTTGTCCGTGTCCTGGGTCCTCCTCGGTTGCAGCTGAGGACGGGGCTGGCCACCAGCGCTCGCAACCCCCGTTGCTTTCGTCAGGAGCGCAGATCAGGGCTCCTGCGAAGGGGTCACCCGGTGTGGCTGGCGCCCGCAGGCCGTCTGACCCAGAGCTCAGGTTTCTGGGGTGCCCCAGCGTTTATTCGCGCGGAGAGGAGACCGGGGAGCTCTTACGGCGTCTGCGCCCCGGGAGCCTGGTGCCCCCGTTGCACGACAGGCCCGCTGCAGACCCGCTCCTGCCCCAGACCAGTGCGTACGGCAGCAGTGGCGAACGCAGTGGGATGGGGCTCGGCGTCCCTCTCGGGGAGACCGAAGTGCCAGTCTCGGGGCGAGGGCCTGATTGACTTGGGGCTGACCGGGGTGTTTCGGGGGAACCAGAAAGTCTGGGAGCAGCGAGTAGCCCGTTACGCCCGGGCACCGTCAGGGACTCGTCTCTGGTTCGACCAAAGAAGAAAAACCGGGGGGAAACCATCACCATGATGGCCAAACCGACAAGAAACCCTCCGAGAGGGCACGGGGAGGTGCAGCCAAGAGCTGGGCATCCCTGCCCGGGGCCGGGGGCTGCACTCCAAGCAGGGAAGCTCCTCGAACTCCGTCCACATCTGAGGCCAGCACGCATCAAGGGCGAGCTACCTTGCAAAACGCTCTCTCCTTTCATGGCCCCCCGTTTATCGTAGCATCTAAGGAAACTGGGACAGGTGCATCCAGCCCCGCGGGTGCTCTGTGCGCTCACCTCGGGTTCCTGTGGCTTTTTAAGGAAATTTTTTGCGTATGACCGATGAAAACCCATGTGAATGTATTACCCGCAAACAAACACGGTGCGTGGCACACGGCCCTGCTGGGGAAGGGCTCTGCCCTCCAGCCCGGCCCCGCAGCCGTCTCGCTGGGGCACGTCCTGCTTCGATGCCGGGGGTGGCAGGGAGCCAGGAAATCTAACCCTCCCGTAGTGCTCCGCCACCATTTCCCAACATGTTCTTTTTTTTTCCCTATTTCTTTCATTTTTAATATTTTCCCTATGCACATACACACTTGGCTTTTGATTTTTTCCCAAGACGGTAGCTTTTAATTACATCTTGATTTCATATTAATTACAGTTTTACCCGAAGCAAAGGGCTTTGTGCTTTATAATTCAAATGCATTCCCATTAATCCTGCAGGTTGGGTTATCGCCGCCTTCAAACGCCGCGCGTCCTCCCCGCTCCTATCCCCGAAGGTGCCGCTCTGGCTGTGGCCGGAGGCGCTGGCAGGTGTGTGCGGCGCAGGAAAGCCGGCAGCCGGCTCGGCCCGGCGCGGACCCGCTGTGGCGGGCAGCACGCGCGGCTTTCCTCCCTCTAAAGTCCCTTCCCAAGCAGGCTCCAAAGCCGGCTGATTACAGGGTAAATGCCGCATTCAAATCTCACTTGTTGGTGCGGAAAGCCAGACCCAGACGTCAGCGTCGCAGCCAAGAGCCGCTCTGGGGGGCCGGAGCCGTGCAGCTCTCCTGCAGCGTGCGGATCTGGCGGGGACTGAGGCCGGCACTGTGCTCCCGAACCCCTGCAACCCGCTCCCGTCCTGGCGATGGTGCATTTGAGCGATCCCGGAGATGCGCGGACACTTTGGATTGTCTGTACCCATCCTCCCCCTTCCCAAACCCCAGGGCACCGCGCAGGGCTGCATTTCCCAGCTGTCCAACTCTGTCCTCCCATTTCCTTCCCCGAAGATGGACCTGACGCTGCTCAGGTTCTCCGGGACGGACACTGGAGGGCATTCCTCTTCCATGCCACTGCAGGCACCGTCCCAGACTCTTTGCCGGAGGTCTCCGGCCCCGGGGCAGCTCTTCGGCCGCATGGGACGGACGAGCGCCCGCGTGCTGGCTCCGTCCCTCTCCCAGCCCTGCCAGCACATCTCCGGGATTGGCCCCAGTTTATGCTCATGGGTTAATGGAGCCGAGACGGGGTTTTATGCTCCTTCCATCACGGAAATGGGAAGCTCATCATGACGAGAGCTTTAATTTGCTCTAGCTGACCTTTCACGGCGGGATGGCTGTCCCTTCTGCTCTGCCAGGACCGTCCTGCCCGCCCCACGGGTCTGGAGGGACCCGCTGGTGCCTGGGCACGAGCCCGCTGTCGGCACTGTGCCACGCCAGCCTTTCCTGGTGGCTGCAGGACGTTATCCCCCCACACCATGTTCCCACGGGACATCATCTCCCTAGCGACTCCAGCTCCTCATCCCGGTGCCTTCAGCTGGCTTCTGCTGCTCCTGGCCGTGCCCAAACCATGCCGCGGCACCCAGAGCTCTTCTCCTTCCTGACCTTTCCTCCCGGGGAGCGTTGTTATTGTCCCGGCCTGGCCCCTTCCCTCCGCCGGCTCCCCGGACCAGCCAAGCCGAGCTCCCCGGGGCTCCCCTCCCTTCCCACCACCCCTGCAGCCTCTGCAGGCGTGGAGCTGGGGGCGGGGATGGACACCTCGTTGCAGGCGTTCCCGCGGCCGCTGGCGGGGTAGGGCCTCTGGCGGGGAAGGCCCTCGCAGGCGGCCGGGAGCCGGGAGC